GACCTCAGGAAACACTGCTGTCAAGCTTTCTGCCACTATATAACATGGTCCACCTTTTATCTGACTGTATGAATTTTCTTGGGGTGCCATAATACAGTGCCCCAAACTGGGAGGCTTAAATAACAGAACTCAGTGGCTTAAACAGCAGAAATTTATAGTCTCCCAGTTCTGAAGGCCAGAAGTCCAAGATCAAGGTGTCAGCAGGGTTGGTTCCTTCTAAGAGATATGAGGAAGAATCTGTCATTCCTCTCTCCTGGTTTCTGGTGGTTTGCTGGCAATTGTAGGCATTCCTTGGCTTGAAGACCCATCACCTTGATCCCTGCCTTTATGTTTACATGTCTTCCTCCCTATGTACATGTTTTATGTCTAAAGTTCCCCATTTATTTATTTATTTATTTCCTCACCTGAGGACATTTTGCATTTATCTTCGGATAGAGTGGGAAGGAGAGAGGGAGGAAGAGAGAGAGAAACATCGATGTGAGAGAGACACATCGACTGGCTGCCACCCACATGACCCCAACTGGGGCCAGGGACAAGCTGCAACCAAGGTACGTGACCTTAGTAGGAACTGAACTCAGGACTCTCCAGTCCGTGGGCCAATGCTCTAACTGCCGAGCCAAACTGGCCAGAGCTAAATTTCCTCTTTTATAAGGGTACCAGTCATATTGAATTAGGTCCCATTCTAATGACCTCATTTAAACTGGATTGCCTCTATAAAGACTCTATCTCCAAATAAGACCACATTCTGAGGTACTGGGGTTAGGACTTAAACATATGAATTTGGGGGCGGGACACAATTCAACTCATAACCTTCAATAACAATTCCCTCACTGCCCCTGAAGCCTTCACATGAGCCCATTGTAGTTCCTGGCCCTTTCTAAAGCCAACAGAGCACATATTATTTATCAGTTGTATCTAACTTTATCAATTGTCAATATCATTTAGGGGCCGATCAGGGAAGCAGCGCCACTGTGGAATACAGGATTTATTATAGGGATTATATACATCACAGCTGCAGGAGAAGCTAAGGAATGTCTGAAAGGAGCTAACTGGAGAATGAGAGAAAAGTGATTAACCAGGGATCACAAAGAAAGCTGGTGAAAAAGTCTATAGGAGTCTATGTTACCTCTGTATCCAGTAACGGGTCTGAAATTGATAGGTCATCATAGCTAACAGTCAGGAAGAAAAGGTGGATTGAATTGGGGGAGAGTGAGGACAAACTAGAATCCACAAGGAAAAACAAACCCGTGAAGACAATGGAACCCCTAGCTATCACACCTTGATGCAGGTAGTCTGCAGAAGTTGATGTCCTCTCCCCACATGTGCCTTGCCCTAGAGCTTGAAGAAGATGAAATAGGAGATGTGATGGGAGCTGGAGGAACTGGGGTCTGCTTGCTGTTCAGCACCAACCATGTGTACCAGCAGATGAGTAACAAGTTTATAGTCTGCAGCTGGCACCAAGTATCCTATGTCAACCATCAGAGCACAAGGGTAGTTTCACTTGCTCCTTCTAAATCTTATACAGATTCTCTTGTGGCCAATCCTATCCTGGAACCAGACTGGGAAGGGAAATTTAGGAAACTAAATTCCAGCTTAGCTAAATTGACACAGTACAAAACTACCACATCAGTCAAACCTCAACAGTTTCCAGACACCATGATGCTGCATCTCACATACCTCAGTTTTTCATTTAAGCCTCATAGCAATTTTGTAAGATAAACATTAGCATCACCATTTTACATCAGAAGAAATGAAGCCTCGTATTTGCTAATAGGTAAGCAAATGGTGGAGCCTGGATTCTGCCCCACCTCTGTGTGGTAGCCAGCTTCCAAGATGGCCCCAGTGATTTTGCCTAATGGTATTCGTGCTCTTTTGTGGTTCTCCTCCCACATTAACTAGGTCTGACCTGAGCATTTAATAGAATATTGCAGAAATTATGGTGAGTGACTGTCAAGGCTGGATCGTAAAATACATTGCAGCTTCTACCTTTCTCTTTCTAGGATCACATGTTGGGGGCAGGGGGTGGGGGGCAGTAGCCATGTTGTAAGGATACTCAACTAGCCTGTGGGCAGACCCATAGGGAGGAACTGAGGCCTTTTGTGAACCAGTACATGGGGGTAAATTATCTTGGAAGTGGACTCTCCAGCACCAGCCAAGCCTTCAGATGATTACAACCCCATATCCTGACTGAAATGTCCCAAGAGACCTCAAGCCAGAACAATGCAGCTAAGTGGCTTCTATATTTTGGACCCACAGAAAATATGAGATAATGTTTGTTATTGCTTAAAGCTGTTAAATTTGGGGGTAATTATACAGCGATAGGTGACTAATATAATCTGTTAGGTTCCAAAGCACAGCTTTATCCATGACATCATTCTGCTTTAAAATTGATTATGAGAATAAAGCATGTGGAAGAATTAGGAATTTGGAAGTGCAGAATGTCCTGGCTATGTGATTAAAAAAAAAAAAAAAAAAAAAGCTTTCAAATATCTGGGCTTCCTTTCAGAAACTGAGAGAGAAGGAGGAGTGTCATCTAGTGGTTAAGCTGAACCTTGAGAATTAGGAGGGTTTCTTTTTTTGTCACTCTCACAGGGAAAGCTGAGTTGACATGGAGAAAATTAGAGGTTAAATCACGTGCTTCTGCTAACTAGCAGACTTGGGCTGGCCTTGGGGAAGAAAAATGATAGAAACTGCATTCTGGCAGGGCAAGCGAGGACTGACAGTCCCTTTGTTTTTGCCTCTTCCCTTCAAGTAGGCCATCCTCTCCTTGCCCCACTATGTTCTGTTTGGCCCCAAGCTCATTGAAGCAGCCCCTTCCTTTTATGATCTAAGTTTTTTTTTTATCCTCACCCGAAGACATTTTTCCATTTTTTGTTCAGATAGAGTGGGAGGGAGAGAGAGAAACATCGACGTGAAAGGGACATATCCAGTGGCTGCCTCCCGCACAACCCAACCAGAGTCGGGGACAAACTGCAACTGAGTACGTGCCCTTAGCAGGAACCGAACCCGGGACTCTCTGGACTGCAGGCCGACACTCTAACCACTGAGCAAAACTGGCCAGGGCCTTTTCTGCTCTTTTTAAAAAAAGATTTTTAAATTGCTTTTTAGAGAGAGAGGAAAGGAGAGGGAGAGAGAAACACTGATATGAGAGCAGAACATCCAAGATCAGCTGCCTCCTGCACACCCCCTACCAGGGGTTGAGCCCACGACCTAGGCATGTGCCTTGATCAGGAATTGAACCAATTTAGGTACATAGGATGATACCCAACCAATTGAGCCACACCAGCCAGGGCCAGCCCCTTTCTTTTCTGCTCTTTCCAAATCCATTTTCCTTATGATGCTCTTTTCCTTTTTAAGATTTTTTGTTGTTGTTATTGATTTTTAGAGAGGAAAGGAGAGGTAGAAAGAGAGAAACATCAATGTGATTGAAACATTGATTGGGCCCTGGCCAGTTTGGCTCAGCGGTTGAGCATTGGCCTGCGGACCAGAGTCCAGGGTTCGGTTACTGCTAGGGGCTTGTACCACCAAAAAAAGAAAAAAAGAAACATTGATCGGCTGCTTCCTACAGCCCGCCGCCAGGATCAAGCTGAAATCCAGCATGTGCCCTGACTGGGATGGAACCAGCAACCCCTTGGTGCCCCGGACAATGCCCAACCAACTGAGCCACATCAGTCAGGGCTCTTTTCCTTTTTATTTTTAGAAAACATTTTTTTTTTCTTTATTGATTTTAGAGAGAGAGGAAGAGAGAGATAGAAACATCGATGAGAGAGAACATCAATCAGTTGCCTCCTGCATGCCCCCCACTGGGGATTGGGCCCACAACCTGGGCATGTGCCCTGACCGGGAATCAAACCAGCAACCTCCTGGTGCATGGGTCAACGCTCAACCACTGAGCCACACGAGCTGGGCTCTTTTCCTTTTAAAAATAAGGTGCATATGTGTGTCTTTAGGAACATAAAATAGGAAAACAAAAAACAAACTTTATTTGAAAACCATCTCCTTTTGCAAACTCTTGGTATTTGTTTTCTCTCCATATTGTTCAGATTTGTCTTGGATCAGAGAGGTGAGGCACTGTGCCTGGTGACCTAATCAAGTCGGAATCATCCAGCAACAGTTATTCTAGGGTTCAAGCACTAGACGAACCTTTCCAGAACATCTGATGCATCCAAGTTCATTCAGTATGTGGAAAATTTGAAGCCCAAACAGCTCAAGTTACTATTAACAGATATTTGTTGATCAGTTACAAGGAGGAGGACTCTCTTCTGGACTTGGATAAGTTCTTTTAAAAGGTCCACCCATTCTGATCAGTAAGATGGGTGGAGTGATTTGCTGAGGTCCTCTCAGATTTTTATGCAAGCACAGAAACACCAGGAACAGCAGCATAACCCAGGTCAAACTCTTCCTACGTTGTAAACTGACCCTCAATAGCTGAGGGTTAAAGAAAAGGTTGCCTAACTCTGACTTCTATTAAACCTCATCTTTGTGCCCCCTGCGAATACTACACAGTGGTATCAAGAAGTATTTGCTAAAGGAATGAATCACCTTCCCTGCCTCCCATCCCCCACCACAGCCCCTCCCTAGGGACTGCACTAGCGTTTGAGCTCCCGCCGGGGACTTTTCGGGGGTCTTGTCTAGTCTCCTTAGACAGTGACCTCGGTCCCTGGATCAGGACCAGGGTGCCCCTTTTCACTGCGGGGCGCCGGCTGGAACCGGACAGGGTGCTCACTTGGACACTCATATTTTCCTTCGGGATGGAGGCTCTTCTCTTGTTCGAGGAGCACACGAACACCGAAAGGGCCCGGGCTGGCTTGGGGAGCACTGGGGGACTGCGGAGTGGTGTCTAGGTCCCAGCCTGGACAGAGGGCTCGCCGACCCACCCCGCTCTCCCACCCAGCGCACGGCTCCGGTTGGCGCCCGGGGGCGGGGCACGATGGGGCCGGGTCCCGGCGAGGGCGGGGCGGCGAGGTCAGGTGACCGTGCGGCGGGCGGCAGAGGCGCAGGGTGTCAGACGCGCAGAGGGGCTGGCTGGGCTGGCTGCGCAGGCTGGGCAGTCCCGTAACACGGCGCGGCCATGGGGGGCTTGAAGGACGAGCTGCTCAAGGCCATCTGGCACGCCTTCACCGCCCTGGACCTGGATCACAGCGGCAAGGTCTCCAAGTCCCAGCTCAAGGTGGGCCCCCGCCGGGCTCTACCCCGGCCTCCGGGGCGCGCTCCTCCACGGGGTGGAAGCGGCCCCGGGAGACGGTGGCTACAGGGAGGGGCGGGCGGGAATGCCGCCCGGCGGCCTGCTCCGGGCTGAAGGGCCAGAGCCCGGGTTCGGAAGTTTTTGTTTCCCACTTGCCCTCGGGCGGGGGCGGTGCGTTAGTCCCCTCAGGGCTCCCCGGGAACGGGGCAGGCGGGGGTGGGATCTTTGAGTGGCGACCTCCGCTCTCTGTGGGCGCCCCCCCCCCCAAGTTTCAGACTCGGAGAGGGCGGTGGGTAGCTCCCTTAGTGAACCTACCCATAGTTTACCCCTTACTCTGGGAGAGGAAGGGACTTGCCCAAGCTTACTGGGCAGAGCCTTGTACAGCGGGACTGTCCTCGAACGGTCCATCTGCACCCAAGGCAACCGGGCCCTTCAGAGAAGGGAGAGGTGCCTCAGAGTCCCCAGAGTCCGGCCTCCATCGGCCTCCTCCTTTGGGGCGGCTTTGGCGGTGGGGAGCGCTTTGTAACTTTGGAGGAAGAACTGCCCCCCTAGCGCGCTCAGGTCTGGAACTACTCGAGGCTGTGCTGTGCCCCACAGGGACCTTAGTTCCCGGGGAAGGAGCGCTGATCTTTCTGGCGCCCTGCAAAAGCAGAGCCTTTATAGTGACTGCCAAATATCCCTTAAGTGAGAGTATAAGGTATAAATAAAGGAATGCTTGTAAATTGAGTAACCCCAAGCACGGGAAGTGGCACTTAGCCAGGAGAAATTGGCAGCTTCTTGAAAGTGTAAAATATGGAAACAGACAAGAAGAACCATTCACAGGCATTTTCAAATATACACATTTTGGATCTAAATGTCTGGTTTTCTTAGCCTCTTCTGGGAATTAATTTCTGAAGATTGGGTTTGCTCTGTATATTTTGAGCAGTAATCAGGAGGTTCTTATGAGTAGTGGCTTTTATGCCAGTAGAATTTAGCATTCCTACCGGGTTTCTTTTGCACTCCTCTCTATGTGTTATATATAAAATTATACTCTGGAAGGGTCCACAGAAGTCTGGAAGCGCCCATGGAAGTCTGGAAGGGTTCACGTAAATCATCCACTTAATTTTTATTTTTTAAATTAACGTACAGTAAAATTGACATTTTTGGTGTATATTTCTATGAGTTTTAATACGTTTAAAGATTTGGATAACTACTACCAACACCAGGTTTCCATCATTTCTGTTATCCTAAAAGGCACCCTCATGATGCCCCTCATCCTCAACTGTGGGCTGTCAGTGATCTGTTCTTAATTGCTGTAGTTTTGTCTTTTTCCAGTGTCTTATAAATGGAGTCAGACAGTAGGTAACCTTTTGACACTGGCTTTAAAGAATATATTTTTATTGATTTTTAGAGAGAGGAAGGGAGAGGGAGAGGAAGAAAGACAAACATCCATGTGAGTGGAACAGCCATCTGCCTCCTGCACGCCCCCTACTGGAGATCACAACCCAGGCATGTACCCTGACTGGAATAGAATCCAACTGACAACCTTTCAGTCCACTGAGCCATATTGCCAGGGCAACTGGCTTCTTTTTTTAAAATTTTTTATCCTCACCCGAGGACATTTTTGCATTTATCCTCAGATAGAGCGGGAGGGAGAAAGAGGAAGAGAGAGAGAGAAACATCCATGTGAGAGAGATACATCAACTGGTTGCCACCCTCACGACCCCAACCAGGGCTGGGGACAAACTGCAACCGAGGTACGTGCCCTTAGCAGGAACCGAACCCGGGTCTCTGTGGTCCGCGGACCGATGCTCTAACCGCTGAGCCAAACTGACCAGGGCAATAATTTATTTTTTAAATACAAATGTATGGCTGGCTACCTTTTCCGGTGAGTTCTTTTGTTGTTTTTTTTTCTTTATTGATTTCTGAGAGACAGGAAGGGAGAGGGAGAGAGAGAGAGAAACATCTGTGAGAGAGAACATCAATTGGCTGCCTCCTGCATGCCCCACTGGGGATCGGGCCCACACCTTGGGAATCAAACTGGCGACCTCTTGGTCCATGAGTATACAGTCAACCACTGAGCCACACTGGCTGGGCTCCTTCCTTCTTTTAGATTATTTGAATATATTTTAGTATACCATTTTATTTTTATTTATTCTTTTATTGATTAATTTTATTATTTATTTATTTATTTATTTTTTTATCCTCACTTGAGAACATTTTTTGATTTTTTGTTCAGAGTGGGAAGAGAGAGAGGAAGAGAGAGAAAGAGAGAACCATCGACGTGAAAGGGACACATCGAGTGGCTGCCACCTGCAAGACCCAGCCAGGGCCGGGGACAAACCACAACCGAGGCAGATGCCCTTAGCCGGAACTGAACCCGGGTCTCTCCGGACCGCAGGCCGACGCTCTAACCGCTGAGCCAAACCAGCCAGGGCTTATTGATTGATTTTAGAGAGAGAGAGAAAAACATTGATTTTGTTGTTTATGCATTCCTTGGTTGGTTCTTGTATGTGCCCTGACTGGGGATCAAACCTGCAACCTTGGCTTATCAGGACAACCCTTAACCAACTGAGCTACTAGGCTAGGGCTTAGTATTCCATTTTAATACTGAGTTTTTTATTATATTTATTTGTATAGTTTTAAAAAGATTACACTAGGGCCCTGGCCAGTTTGGTTCAGCAGTTAGAGCATTGGCCTGTGGTCCGGAGAGACCTGGGTTCAGTTCCCGCTAAGGGCACGCTCGTACCTCGGTTGCAGTTTGTCCCTGGCCCTGTTTGGGTCGTGCGGGTAGCAACCACTTGATGTGTCCCTTTCATGGCGATGTTTTTCTTTCTCTCTCCCCCTCCCACTCTATTTGAACAAAAGATGGGAAAGTGTTCTCGGGTGAGGATAAAAAATAAAATAAAATAAAATAAATAAAAGATTACACTAGGGATTATAATATTTATAATCTAACATTTTACAGACTATTTAGAATTAATTAATATTTTACTACTTTAAGAGGAAGATAGAAACCTTATCACCACATAGGTCCCTTTTACCTCCCTGCTTTATTTTGTAGTTGTCATATTGATTACTTTTCATACATTGAAAACACCATCAAATAATGTTAAAATTTTCAACCATCATTTTTATTGTAAAGATCTCTCAGGAGGAGTATAGTATTTTTTCTCCCAGATACTCCCAGATTACTTCTTAATTTTATAGATGAGATAGATGAAGCTTCTGAGATGTTTGATGACTTACTCAAACTCACAGTTGTAAGTAGCTAAATATGAAACCAAGATTTTCAAACTTTTGAGCCAGTGTTTCTTCATTTTCTCTCTTTCAATTGATTGCATAAATGAGATGTTTTCTTTTACTTTTGTTACACTCCATTCATAATTGTCTTTGTGGCTGCCAGTAGGAAAAGTGTTCAGGTTATTCTTGACTGTAGGCTTGACAGGAAGTGTTAAAATCCCAGTTCATAGCTTTCACCCACAAACGCTGGTAACGCAACTGTAATTGTATTTTGTTTCTGTCTACTTAACTGAGAGGCTTTGGGATTGATTTAATTCTGTTCATTTTACCAATGTTTCTGGAATTGAAAATATTTTTTAAAAATTTCTATTTAGGTCTTTATGTGCTGCTTTGTGAAGTTTGATGTTCATTAATCTATTGGCTAGACATAGGTTTTTGCCTTAATTTGTTCACTTATTCATTTGTTCATACAACAATCTTTTGTGTGTTTACTCTGTATAAGGTACCGTAATAATTTCATAAAAAGATTAGTATTTGTAGGCTCTTAGTAGTTAATATCTCCTGGGAGGAAATATCTTATACAGTAGCCCTTCCTTATCCATGGTTTCAATTTCCATGGTTTCAGTTATTAGTAGTCAACCATTGTCCAAAAATAGTAAATGAAAAATTCTAGAAATAAGCAATTCAAAAGTTTTAAGTTGCCCACTGCTCTGAGCAGTGTGATGAAATCTGATGCGGTGTCATTCCTCCCCTGCCCACCATCCAGCCCAGTCCCACCCTGGACGTGTATCTTGGGTTTGTCCAGTATACCTACGCATTTATACACAATCCTGTTAGTCACTTAGAAGCTGTCTTGGTTATCAGGTTAGTTGTTAAAGAGAAAGAGACCACATTCATATAACTTTTATTACAGTATTGTTAAAGTTCTATTTTATTATTAGTTATTGTTAAATTCTTACTGTGCCTAATTTATAAATTAAACTTTATCATGGGTGTGTATATATGGAAAAAAGCATTGTGTATATAGGGGTTAGTAGTATTTGTGATTTCCATCATCCACTGGGGGTCCTGGAACATATCTTCCAACTATATGGACTAATGTAATTGTTTTATTAAGTATCAGACTAAAAATTACATATCCAAAATGAAGGTTAAAATGTATCACTTTGGAAAACTGTGGGCATTCTAAAATATTTTGAACTTGTCTTTTTGAATTATTGTACCTTCACCACTTTTGACACAACGAATGGATACATTTACTAATTATGTAGTAGATACTTAATGTGTTAGATACTGTGCTAATAGTAAAGGTGGAGGAAAAAGAAACAAATAGGAATCGTTGCCTTCAAAGAGTTTAAATTTTGGTAGGCAAATGAAGAGAATGATCAACCATTAGAGAAAGCTATATCTATATCTCTCTATCTCTATCTCTATCTCTATCTCTATCTCTATCTCTATCTCTATCTGTATCTATACCTATCGATATGGATATAGGTAGATGTCAGACAATTACCCTGTCTTTAAGAAATATAAAGTCTGGTTGTAGAGATAAAAAATACAGAACTATTATTAGATAGAAGATGTTGAATGTGACAGAAGATGAAGGACCATGGGATTTTAGAGAAAAAGACAATTACTTTTTACTGGTGAGGTTACTTCATGAAAAAAACAGAAAAACTTCTTTGAAATTAACTCTGAAGAAAGCTAGGATTTGATTATATAGTAATGGGGAGGATTAAACCCATTATATTAATTTATTCAAT